ACTCAAAATAATTGAAAGCAGGATCTTGAAGAGTTATTTGTACACCCACGTTCAAAGCAGCATTATTCTCAATAGTGAAAACATGGGCAACCCAAGTGTCCATCTGGATAAACAACATGTGATCTGTTCGTATGATGGAATATTATTCAGCCTGAAAAAGGAAAAGAATTCTGACATACGTTACAACATGGATAAACCTTAAGGACATTATGCTAAGTGAAATGAGTCAAGTACAAAAAGACAAATACCGCATATGAGGTACTTAGAGTAGACCAAATCATAGCAACAGAAAGTAAATGGCATTTTCAGAAGCCGAGGAGAGTGGAGAATGACAAATTATTGTTTGATGGATAAGAGTTATGAATATGGATGGTTGTGATGGTTACACAACAATATTAACTTACTTAGTACCACTGAACTGTACACTTAAAAATGTTTAAGAGGAAATTTTATGTTTTATGTGTTTTACTACAATTTTAAAACTGGGAAAAAATTGGGGCGCCTGGGTGGCTCAGTCAGTTAAGCGTCCGACTTCGGCTCAGGTCATGATCTCGCAGTTTGTGGGTTTGAGCCTCGCATGGGGCTCTGTGGTGACAGCTCAGAGCCTGGAGCCTGCTTTGGATTCTGTGTCTCCCTCTCTGTCTGCCCCTCCCCCACTCATTCTCTCTCTCTCTCTCTCTCTCTCTCTCTCTCTCTCTCTCTCTCAAAAATAAACATTAAAAATTTTTTAAATAAAAATGGGAAAAATTTAAAATCCCTATAGATCACCGATTCTCCTATTTAGCAGTATTCACCATTTTTAAAGTTTATGTATTTTGAGAGAGAGAAAGAGAGAGAGAGAGAGAATATGAGCGGGGGAGAGGCAAAGAAAGAGGGAGACAGAGAACTCTAAGCAGGCTCTGCACAGTCAGCACAGAGCCCAATGCAGGGCTCAAACTCACGAACCGTGAGATCATGACCTGAGCCAAAACCAAGAGTCAGAGACTTCACTGACTGAACCAGCCAGATGCCCCCATCACCATTTTTAGATAGCATTTTCCTTCTCTACCTCAGCATTGTCACTAAATCCTTTATAAGAAAAAGCAAATTTTCGTATGGGAATGAACAATTCTCTGGTATTGCTGCTCCTGAAAGGCACACTGAGATTTTTGTTATTTCAGCACTGGATTGAGAAAAAGAATAGGTAAGCAATAAATGCCAGACACCTAGTCATTGATTTCGCATCTGGTAATCCCCAGTGTGGCGTGGCTTTTGCTCCAGGCATGCTGCTACTCACAATTGAAAGCTGCCTGTCCTTTCCTCCACTTTTATCCTCGTTGTTGTTATTTGTAACAGGGGAGTATGTATCTTACTGGTTTTACTGGTTTGTGTTTGGGGTTCCTTCTTCAGTGGTCCCCCATACCAAGTATATCCACCTCTCACAATCTTCTGCTTTTCAAAAGCCTGTGAGGGCAAACAAGACATAAGAAACCACGTGTGCCCCACCACCTGCCATAGTAGGCCAGCAGTCTGATGCAGAACATGTCTCTGCCCTGTGGAACCCCTGCTTCCCACCAGGAAGCTGAAATACTGCCTTGTGGTTCTGAGTCAGCCTCTGGATGCATGTGTTCGTAATCTTTGGAGCAAAGCCTGTGCTGATGCAGGTGCCATCCACTTATAGGATACACAGAAGGAGAGAGGGAAAGTTTTTTGCCTGAATTAGCCAGTGGACACTTTGATTCTAGTAAGCCCAAAGCTAAGGAATACTATGCTGTTCAGGGATGTGAGGTTATTTCAACTCCTGACCAAGACCATACTGCCTTTACCAAGTTCCTTGAACTGCTCAAAACACACACACACACACACACACACACACACACACACACACACACACAGAAGAAAAAGACCTACATATAGATGTGATTGTGACCTTGGGAGGTGTCCACGGGCCTTTTGGCCAGATTGTGGCATATGTGAGCACCCTGTTCCAAGCTACTTGCGTCACTCCTGTGCTAATTATAATAATCCAAGAAGAATCTCTCAACTACCTGCTCCAACCAGCACCTGGCATCCATAGTTCTAAAGATGTTAAAGATAGCAGATCTCAATTTTACAGTGACAGGGAAAAATCATTCTTTATTGTATTCAATTGGAAAACTAACGTGGATCATCCCACTATAACATTCAGTACTGGCTATTGTTATGTTATTAATCATTCCATTTATCCTATAAAATTGTTTTTTTAATGTTCATTTATTGAATTTGAGAGAGAGAGGCAAGGAAGGAGAGAGATAGAGAGAGAGACAGAGAGACAGAGAGAGAATCAAAGCAGGCCCCGTGCTATCAGTGCAGAGCCTGATGCAGGGCTCGAATTCACAAACCATGAGATCATAACCTGAGTCGAAATCAAGAGTCAGATGCTTAACTGACTGAGCCACTCAGGTGCCCCATTAGAAAATTGTTTTCAATTTTGGAGTCAGACGTGCTACCATTGCGCCACGAGGTCACAATTGTTTTTAATTTTGAAGCTGAAAATATTCTGTGTTGAAGGTCCTTGGCGTCCAACACACAAACCTTCTGCCCATCCTTAAATGCTTACACCAAACGCTACTTCTGAGTGTCTATTAATGCTAGATTCCTCTGTATAATATAGAAGAAAATTCCTTTCAGACTGGGATGTTAGAACTGCACTATTTCACCCTGGTCTTATTACTGTGTTGGTATTATCTTTTAAAAATAAATCAAGAAGCATTGACCTAATTATTACATTTAAAAAGAGGCAGTTATGTAAGCTCCAGGTGAAGAGAAGCAGCATGAACAATAAATGACAGTTCATAAGCCCCACTGACACATTCACCCCAAGCTCAGCTCCACAGGGAGTGTGCTACGCTCTGGTGGAGTGATAGATGAAAACTCTCATCGTAATCACAACCAAGTCAGAAAATGTTGTGCAGAGGAAACTTACGCATGGCAACTGAATTGTTTCCAACATTATTCGGACTGAAGAAGTATTGCTTCACGGATTGCAAGTTTATGAAGATGACCAAGAAATGAGTTTGACAACATATGGGTTAAGTGAACATTGAGTACCAAGGGCCTGGGTCTGAAAGCCTACGTTCCTGTCCCTGTCCAGCTATTCACCCCAATTCCCTGAATCTTCTCCTTAGCCAGGAAGTGGAAGGGGATGGATGGGTAGTGCCTGACCTTCCTTCCCACAGTCGGATTCCAGCTGCTGACACCTGGCAGAGAGCACACAGGGCTGCTGACTCAGCAGTTTCAACCACGGGGGTGGGGGGGACGCTGGAGTGCATTTGAGTTTCTTTTATAATGAGATCTCCTTCTCTCTTCTTACCCTTTTCTATCCTGTTTACCAAGCCAGATGTTGCCATCCAAACCATGGTGTACGGAGATGCCACCCACTATGTTTTGTGTGTATACACCCCCACTTGGCTGTAAGGGACCCGCAGCTGTTTCCTTTCCAGTGTTACAAGAAAACAAGAGTCGGGTTTTAAGTGGAGAAAGGGGCATCGGGTGACCTAGTGTGCAGTTGTGAACAGTTAGTTAACCATAAGAGGTCATTTTTAATTATTCCTCAAATATATGAGATTGAAACCTGATGTCAAATGTGAAAAAGAAATAACACCTCTCCATATCTAAGTGTATATCTCCTTTTCCATGTTCATTTCTCATATGTGTTTTGTGATGGCACAGTGGCACGGAGCGTATGGTTTCTGCCCAATGACTCTGAGTGTGAAAATGAGTGGCACTAGTCACCTTCAACCACTGCATATTTTCCACCATTCACCTGGAACCTTTCTCACTAGGATTCACATTGGTCATTTTGATCACTTAACCTAGACTGGGCCCCAGAACACGACAACCTAACTTGTCAGGTACAGAGAGGAAACAGTCGGGAACCAGTAATTTTCTCTGTGATATTCCTGGTATCCCTAAGAAGGGAAGTATAATTTGAGGTACATACTGACAAAATTTGAATACAACTTATTTAAAGTCACCCTCTTTTGGAGATGAAATTGAAGGACCATGTAGTGCCTGCTTTGGCAAAGGAATTTTTGCTGATGTAGCGTATATGTACCAATTTATGATTTATTTTATCAAACAGCACCTAATGTATCATATGACTCTTCAAAAATTTTTTTAACGCTTATTTATTTTAGACAGAGATAGAGCAAGACAGGGTGCAAGCGGAACAGGGGCAGAGAGCGAGGGAGACACAGAATCTGAAGCAGGCTCCAGGCTCCGAGCTGTCAGCACAGAGCCTAACACGGGGCTTGAACCCTTGAACTGGAAGAGCATGACCTGAGCTGAAGTCGGAGCTCAACTGACTGAGCCACCCAGGTGCCCCTCAGATGACTTTTTTTTAAATGTTTATTTTTGAGAAAGAGAGCATGAGCAGGGGAGGGGCAGAGAGAGAGAGAGGGTCATAGGATCCTAAGCAGGCTCTGCACTGACAGGAGAGTCTGGATGCAGGGCTCGAACTCACGGACCGCGAGATCATGACCTGAGCCAAAGTTGGACACTTAACCGACTGAGCCACCCAGGCGCCCCTGGGTGACTTTTGAAAACAGTGTTTTGGTTTTATAGATATTAGGGATTGTCTCAGCTCAGGCTGCTATAACAAAACCCCACACAGTGGGTGGCTTACAGACAACAGACATTTATTTCTCATAGTTCTGGAGGCTGAAAGTCCAAGATCAAGGTGCCAGTAGATTTGGTGTTTGGTGAGGGCCCTGTTCCTTGTTCATGGATGGCCATATTTTCACTGTACCTTTGTGTGGTGGAAGAGGTGAGATATCTCTCTGAAGTCTCTTTTCTAAGGTCAGTAATCCCGTTTTGTGCACACATAAACATTCAGCCTATAGCAGGGGCTTATACACAATTTCCAATTTGCCTTGTTAACAGTAGAGGAGAGTGGGATAGAAGCTTTACTTTCAGCTGCTTTTCAAAATGGGTTCAAAGAAGGTCACCAAAATGAATGACTTTTTCCTTTCTTCACACAGGTTATCCCCTGGGGTGCCAAGATCTTTGCCATTCAACACATCAGTCATGTACAGAAAGACTGTGTTTGTAGAGTTTACAGATCGCCTTTTCAACATTGCCAAGCCCAGGCCACCATGGATGGGTAATGGAAACAACACTGACTGTGTATTATGAAACTGAATATCTGTGTCTGGTGTCCTGGCAAGGATCCCCCAGTCTTCCAGCTACAGTTGAAGAGGGCTAGGCTTCCCTTACTACCACCTGTCAGGGAAATACACTGAGTATTCTCCAACTTTGTGCCAGGCCCTCCTTCTCTGCTGTACTCTAGATGTTAGAGTCCTCTGGGTCTTGGACCAGGGCTTCCTTTATCTTCTCTTTAGCTTCTATCCCTAGCTGATGTTATCCAGTTATCCAGATTGATGTTATCCAATCTGGTATAGAGATTTTAAGACACCATCTCTATACCAGTTACTCCCAGGTTTATATCTTCAGTTCACACTGCTTCCTTGATATGCCCACTTAGATATCAAGTAAGAACGTAACAGGATATTAAGATGAGACATCTCCTACCTTAGAATTATTTCTGAGAGCTCTAGGTGACAAGCACCCCCCCCCCAATTCTAAAGAGAAATATCAGTCCTCATATTTAGGACTTGTTTAGCTGGTGTCCCCAAATTGGTTCTACAACCCTTAGCCCATCATGCACCTCCAGCCTATATAAAAGAAGACTAGGAACTTATGAAATAATGTAGACTTGAGGATTTCTTTGGAAACCAATTTTGGTGATTCATATATCCTCCACCCCACAGGGGAAGGAGGCCTCATCCTCATGTCAAGGTGTAGTGAAGGAGGCCTTAGGAGAACCATTTAGAAGGCTTGACATAACACCTGTGGAGCTTGTAAGACTCTGACTAGTGCCTGGTTTTTATCTGGAAAATTTGTCAAGGCCAGAGTCTTTGGGGAACTTCCCCTGATGTCATCATAAGGGTTGTGGGTTATAGCTGAAGCTAAGTGCACTGTTGCTGTTGGGTGTGAGATGAGCAAGGTCATAGGACAAGATTTGTCTTGAGAAGATCCTGCCCAGGATGTCTTCCTACCAGGGCTGGGTGACTCCAGAAAAGGTCTCTGTGATTGTATTGTCAGAAGCAAAAACTGAGAAGAGAGATACAAGTGACAGCTGGAGAGAGCATGATTGGAAGACAGAGAGTCTCCAAAGAACTCGTATAAATTCCCTAAGGATGAAAGACACAGAATTTTGGCATGTCCCACAACCAGGGGTGCCAAAGCCACATTATCACTGCTCCTTCCGAGAACAATCATGCCTCTTTTTCCGCCCCTGTCCTTTTCTCACTAGCTCCAACCTTAGAGGGCCCAGAGGCAGTAAGGTGAGTCGGGGAGGAGGGTTAGGAGAGGAAGATGAGAACATAGGTTTCTGAAATTGTCAGGACTTAGCTGAAGGAGGGAAGGACCCTTAAATTGCAGGAGACATCAAACGTTTGATATTTTACTAGACTGGACTAATTGGTCTAGACTGGTATCACTGGACTAATATGATACTGCTGATATGTGAAGGTTACTGGAGAAATTTGGAGACTATTCAAAGTGCTAGAAGGGAAACTGCACAGAACACAGTTAAAAACTATGCAAAATAAGTCTATTTTATGTTTTTGTCCCATTGAATCCAGTTCACTCAAATCATTTTGTAGGTATCTTATACTTAATATGTGTGTAAGTCAAAAGTCTTGATTTGGTTTCCCTCTTAATTTTCTGTGCCCTGGCCTGACTGCCACCCAGTTACACAAGCCCAAAGCACAGGAATCATCCTTAGCTGCTCTCTTTTTTCTTTTCCTATCTCTAATATCCAGTCCATCAGCAAGTCTTGTTGACTCTTCATCCAAAATAAGTCCCAAGTCTGCTCACTTCTTATGAATTCCAAATTCATCCAAACCCCTGGGCCCTACAAAGTCCTACATGTTACGTTCGCTCCCTGCCTTTATAACCCTATTTTCTATTATTCCCCTGCTCATTCACATCTTACTCGACCATGTCAATATTATTCCTGTCTCGGGACTTTTCCATTTGTTTCATGTGCTTTGAATGTTATTCTATGAGATCTTTGCAAATCTTGCTTTTTAATTAGATCTCTGCTCAAATTCCACCTCCTCAAACATGCCCTTCCTGACCCCTATACTTAAAGGATCTTGTATCTCCTGCTTCGGCATTTTCTAGCTCACTACCATCTTTTACAGCATTGACCACAAACAGAATAGTTCTTATTTCTTTATGTTCCTGATTTCATTCTGTAGAATATAATTTTCATGATGTGTCTTATTCACTCCTGTGTCTCCAGTGCCTAGGACAGTTCCTAGAATATACTAGGAACTCAACTGAATGAATTGCCAGAAATCTATCCTCAGAAGAATCATGACACTGAGCTGGTGATGGCAGTTTATGCATTTATTCATTCAATTACTACTTTCTATCAATAATCACAGGGACATGACTTTGGCCATCACTTTCATAATACCAGCTTTTCCGGAGTGCTGCTCTCCAAGTGACCTTTGAGGGACATCCTGTTCTTGCAGGTCTGCTGGGTCCTACCATCCGGGCCGAAGTTTTTGACACAGTGGTCATTACACTCAAGAACATGGCTTCTCACCCTGTCAGTCTTCATGCTGTTGGCGTATCCTATTGGAAAGCTTCTGAAGGTGAGTCAGATGCCTTGCTAGTGTCCTCTCATCCCAGGGATAAAGGAGTATTGAACACAGGGTCATACCGCTGGTGAATGGGGGAGTCAGGATTCAAACCAAGGCCTGTTTCATGAAGTCAGGAACATTGTCATCTTAGTTGAAGCCCTGAAGTTAATTTGGTTCCTGTTCTCCCTTGAGGAGCCAGGCTACAGATCCTAACAATTCCACTTATCTGCCTTCCTATGCCCAGAAATTTCCTAGGGAGGATGAAGGCTCATGATATGGAAATGAAATAGAATTCTTCCTTCCTTAGATTCTCACTTTCTAGATATTTCCTCTCCCTCCCCTCCCCCCAGTTTCTAAATATCAATGCCACTACGTGATAAGCACAAGCTGACCTCGTTAAAATAAACAACCCGTATGGCCTCAGTCCCCACTTTACCTAGCGTCTCCTTAACCTTCACAATGCATGAAGGGAGTGAAGGGGGTGCCACATTGTCCAGATAGACTAGGGCATATATAGATCAAGAAGATTCAAGAAAATCATTAATAAAGTATTTGAGTACATGCCCTATGTTGAACAGCCTAACTGTGCTTACATGTTGACTAATTGCTTCTGAAATTGGAAAGTCTTAATTTTTTGAGTTGTACCCATAAGGCCAAGGCAGACCTGGGTTGGGGGAAGATGATAGGTGGGGGCTGGTGGTATAGAGGAAATGTCATCCCAATTCTGGCTGGAGCCAGGCAGGCTATTCCCATGAGGATTATCCACTGGGAGCTTCCAGAACATATCTAGGAGCTTTTTAAATTTTTTTTTTCAACGTTTATTTATTTTTGGGACAGAGAGAGACAGAGCATGAACGGGGGAGGGGCAGAGAGAGAGGGAGACACAGAATCGGAAACAGGCTCCAGGCTCTGAGCCATCAGCCCAGAGCCCGACGCGGGGCTCGAACTCACGGACCGTGAGATCGTGACCTGGTTGAAGTCGGACGCTTAACCGACTGCGCCACCCAGGCGCCCCTCTAGGAGCTTTTTAGAGAGGCCAGGGTCCTCACAGTCCTGCAGCTCGGGGTGAGCATAGAGATGACTGTTTTGCACCCTATGCCTGGTGAAGTCTGGGAAAACTATTTAATCTCTCACATGTGCGTCCACAGTGGTTCTGCCCAGGAGCAACACAGTGAGGCAATGGCCTCAAATCCATGTGACTTATGGCCCTGTCAGAAGCCTGTATACTCACATGTTGTGATCCACAAGCTCCTGGCCTTCTTAGACTAGCCTGGGAGCCCCAGTATGTCAGTTAAATCTGTGATGTGTTGACCTTTCTGATACCCTACTGTAAAATATCATATCAAGTGTTTAACTGATTTTCCTATTGAAAAAAGGAGTTGTTTATCTTTTTCTTATTGATTTGTACAGGTACTTTATATATTCTTAATACACACCATTTGACAGATGTAAATATTTGCATATCTTCTTCCAGTCTGTGCCTTGAATTTTCACTGTCTCAATAAGTTTTTGGCAAACAAAAGTTACTAATGAAGCACAGAAGTTCAACCCAAAAAATTATCACTTTTTTCTTTCCATGTTAGAGCTTCATGTCCTGTTTAAGATATTTGCCTACCCTAGGTCACCTGGGTGGCTCAGTCGGTTGAGCGTCTGACTTTGGCTCAGGTCATGATCTCATGATTCATGGGTTCGAGCCCCACGTCGGGCTCTGTGCTGGAAGCTCAGAGTCTGGAGCCTGCTTCACATTCTGTGCCTCCCTCTCTCTCTGCCCCTCCCCTGCTCCCACTCTGTCTCTCTCTCTCTCAAAAATAAAGATTAAAAAAAAGATATTTATTCGCCTACCCCAAAGTCTTGAAGAGTTTCTTCCATGTTTTTCTCCAGAAGTTTTATTATTTTACCTTTTGTATATAGGTCTGTGATCCATCTAAAATTGAGTTTTGTGTATGTTTTCCCCATAACATTTTTTTTTTAAGTTGAGATCAAAAGTTGCATGCTCTACCAACTGAGTCAGCCAGGTGCCCCTCTCCATAGCATTTTTTACTTTTTAAAAATTTTTTTAATGTTTATTCATTTTTTGAGACGGAGGGGATGGGGAGGGGCAGAGAGAAAGGGAGACATAGAATCTGAAGCAGAATCCAGGCTCATGACCTGAACCAAAGTCAGATGCTTAACTAACTGAGCCACCCAGGTGCCCCTCTCCCCATAACACTTTTGTACAGTTTTATTGAGGTATAACTTACATATCATAAAATTCACCCATTTAAAGTAGTTTGACAGCAACAGCAACAAAGGCAGGTATAAACAAATGGAACTGTATCAAACTAAAAAGTTTTGGCATACATGAAGGAAACCGTCGATAAAATGAAACAGCAACCTACTATATGGGAAAAGGTATTTGCAAATGAAATGTCCCATAATGGGTTAATATGCAAAATATATAAAGAATTCACAAAACTAAATATCAAAACTAAATATCAAAGAAAACAAACCACCCAATTAAAACAAACAAACAAACGAAGAATGGCAGAGGACCTGACTAGACATTTTTCCAAAGAAGACATCCAGATGGCTAACAGACACATGAAAAGATGCTCAACATCACTCATCATCAGGGAAATACAAGTCAAAACCACACTGAGGTACCACCTCACGCCTGTCAGAGTGGCTAGTATCAAAAAGACAAGAAATGACAAGTGCTGCTGAGGGTGTGACACAAAGGGAAGCCTCATGCACTGCTGGTGCTGCCACTGTAGAAAACAGCATGGAGGTGACTCCAAAAATTAAAAATAGAGCTACCATATGATCCAGCAATTCTGCTTCTGGGTATTTGTCCAAAGAAACTGAAAACAACACAATCTGAAAAGATATATGCTCCCCTATGTTCATTGCAGCATTATTTACAATAGCCCAAATATGGAAGCAACACAGGTGTCCATCCATAGATGAATGGATATAGAAGGTGTGGGATACTCTCTCTCTCTCTTTCTCTCTCTCTCTCTCTCTCTCTCTCTCTCTCTCTCTCTCTCTCACACACACACACACACACACACACACACACTGGAATATTACTCAGCCAACGAAAAGAATGAAATCTTGCATTTCCAATTATGTGAATGGAACTAGAGTGTATTATGCTAACTGAAATAAGTCAGACAGAGAAAGACAAATACTATATGGTTTTATTTATATGTGAAATCTAAAAGCAAAACAAAACAGAAACAGATTCATAGACACAAAGAACAATCTGGTGGTTTCCAGAGACTAGGGAAGTTGGGGGATGGGAAAAATAGGTGGAGGGGATTAAAAAGTATAAACTTCCCATTATAAAATAAATAAGTCACAGGGATGTAATGTACAGCATAAAGAATGAAGTCAATAATATTGTAACAACTTTGTATGGTGACAAATGTAACCAGACTTACTGTGATTACCATTGAGCAATGTATGCAATTGCCAAATCACCATGTGGTACACCTGAAACTAATACAATATCGTATGTCAACTACATTTCAATAAAAAGCAGTTTGATGAATTTTCGTAGACTTTTACACGTGTGCAGCCATCAACACAATTCTTTAGAACACTTCTGTCACCTCAAGAAATTCTCTCTTTGCAGACCCATTCCCATTTCTAGTTGCAGGCAAATGCTGATCTGTTTTATGTTTGCATAACTTTGCAAACCTGTCATTTTTCTCTCCCAAGCCAACTCTGGTAAATCATGTTACTGTTTAGCAAGTAATCATCCCCTCTCCAGAGTGGGAGGGCTATTTTTCCCTGCCATATTGATGTGCAGCTTAGCCATATGACTTGCCATGGCTGCTAGAATCTAAAGGCACAAGATATAAACCAAGACAGCTTGTTCACGTGAAGTGTCTGTGAAAGTAGCCACAAAACGAGTGAAAAGCAGGTCCAAGCAAATTTCAGATTTGGTGGAGCTGAAAATGAAAGTTCAGTGCTAGAGGTACATTTTTACTTTCTTTTCTGGACCAGTGGGGAGGCACCAACCCAAGCTATAGATGTGTCCGTGAAGTGAGGTTCTCAATAAGGATTAGGTGAGGTTGGCCATGAGCTGCAAAACTTTGAGTGAAACCTGAAAGACAGCATGGAGACATACAAGTCAAGAAGTGTCAACCCAAAGCTGCTGAGCAGAGATCAGGTAAAGGAATAATAACTGATGGTTCCAGGAAGCGGGGTGGAATAGCCCCTGAGGCACAGCATTTGGCTAACTTCTGGGGCCCTAGGCTAAGCCTGGAATCAGGCTGACCAGCTAACTGCAGAGGGTTGGGTAGAGAGTTCTCCAGGACACCCAGTGCAGTGGAGGCCAAGGCAGAGGGAGGATGCAGATACAAGGACATAAACATCAGGGGATGGAACAGGGGCTGGAGGTGGAAGGTGGAGACCAAAGAGATTGCCACAGCCCCTGGGCCTGACTGTGAGATCTCTGTGTAGATTACCAGCTACCTTGGTTACTGAGTGCACATTGTTGAGATAGCTTCCAACTTCAGAGCACCGGTGACTCACTTTTAGAATACCCTAGTGTGGTGGTTTATAGAAACATGGTAGAAGGTGCCTTGACACTCCTCCCATCAAGAGCTGGAATCTATATATTTTTTAAAATTTTTTTAATGTTTTATTTTACTTTTGAGAGAGAGAGAAAGAGTACATGGAGGAGGGGCAGAGAGAGAGAGGGAGACAGAAACCGAAGCAGGCTCCAGGCTCCGAGCTGTCAGCACAGAGCCCAACACGAGGCTAGAACTCTCAGACCATAAGATCATAACCTGAGCTGAAGTCAGACGCTCAACTGACTGAGCTCCCCAGGCGCCTCTGGTATCTATAGTTCTTTCCCTTTAATCTGTGGAGGCCTGTAACTGCTTCGACCAATAGTGTGTGGTACAGCCCATGCCATGTGACTTTTGGCACTGAGTGCTGAAATAATAGGCTGCCTCTGTCTTGTTTGTGGGAACATTCACTCTTGGCATCCTGAAATGCCATTTGGCCCCCTGACTCCTCAAGGTCCCCATGAGGAAGCCAAAGCCAAGTAGAAAGTCCCAGGTGTAAGTGCGCTGGTCGACAGTCCCAACTGAATCCAGTTTTCAGGTCAGTCCCATCCAGCTACTAGATACGTGAATGAAAAACCCTCCAGATGGTTCTAGCCCTCAGCTGTTTGTGGCATGCCAGCTGACGCCCTAGATACCTTGGAGCAGAAGAGCCTGTGCTCTGAGCTCCTGACCCACAGAGTCAGTGAGGGTAGTAAGGTGGTGGTTGTTTCACATTGCTATATTTGGGACGGTTATTTAACAGTCTTCTCAACAGGAAGCTCTGTGATGTACTCCTCAACTTTTCTCTCTTCCTTGTGTATCTCAAGCCCAAAACTACTGGAGAAAGCTTTGACTGGCTCAAGGGCTAATTACAAAATGACGTCCTTTCGGAAGTGGATTTTTGTTGATTCAGTACACTCCTTAGGACATCTTCCATGTGAAACACACACTGATATCAGACAGATGGACTCCCTGAACTCTCAAATGTCACAACAGTGTTGTTCCGCATGTAACAGAAAGTGAAAATTACACAGAACACCTTACCTTCTGTTTAGAATATTTGCAGGTGGCTGACGTACAAGCTCAGATAAGAGTCTGATGGAGGCAGGGATCTTACAAAAATAATACACATTAGTAGATAATAGACTTTAAGGGCTGTGCACCATGCTTTTTTCCAGGTACCACCTACTTTTCTTGGTCTTCACAAATCACCTTTGTATTCATTGAAGAATAGGTTTTGTTATTAGCAACTTGAGCAGCCCCCGAAATCTCAAGTTCAAGTGTTCAATGTTTGAGCACCACCTTGAGTGTTTCTCACTGCCCATTCCAACAGCGCTTCATTCTCGTTGGAATCTGCCATCCACTGCTATCGCTTCCCTTCTTGCCCAGCTCATATGCCCTGGCTCATCACAGACATGGTGCCCTTGCATGCAGTCCCAGTTTCATGGCCTCCCTGATCTCCATTCTCTTCACTTGGCTAAACCACTACCCTGGTTACAGCTGTCCTCTGCCTATTCAACTAGCAGCCAAGTGAATGGCCGTAGTGGAAGTAAAAGTATACATTCACCCGGAATCATGTCACTAAGTTCCTCATTCGTCAGCTCGGCACCTCCTGGCCATCCTACTGTGACAGTTCTCCCGGTGGTTCACCATCCCTCTCCCCAGGGCAGCTACAGTGCTTCACACATTCGTGGCCTCTCATCAAACGTTCCACACCTCTTTCCCAACCCTACTGTCAGGAAAGAGAATATTCATTTCTTTTTTTTTAAAGGATAGTCATTTCTTAATGAAATGCTTCAAACAAAGGCACAGAAAATAATATAGCAGACAAACAATTGTCACCTCACTTTGCCAAATCTTAACATTTTGCCATCTCTGCTTTAAGAAATTATTTGTTTTAATTTTTTTTTCAATGTTTATTTTTTTTTGGGACAGAGAGAGACAGAGCATGAGCATGAACGGGGGAGGGGCAGAGAGAGAGGGAGACACAGAATCGGAAACAGGCTCCAGGCTCTGAGCCATCAGCCCAGAGCCTGACGCGGGGCTCGAACTCCCGGACCGCGAGATCGTGACCTGGCTGAAGTCGGACGCTTAACCGACTGCGCCACCCAGGCGCCCCCTGCTTTAAGAAATTAAACATTATAGATACAGTTGAAGCCCCTTGTGTATCTCCTCTGATTCCCTCCCTCCCTATCCAAATGTATCTACTGTCTAGAATTTAATATCAACCCATGATCACACAGGCACCTGAAATGCACATTCCATCCCCAAATGCTGACTCAGGTTTTTAAAAATGTCTACCTGTCTCTGCCACGTGCAGGTGTTGGTCTGATGTTGCTTCCACATGAAGCCAGTAGTACCTAGTGCACACTGAAGAGGGTGTCCCTATACCCCAGAGAGACTGACTTTAGAGTGGGGACTACCCATCTGTCCTTTGGAGGTGGCCTTGGTTGCTGAAAGCTTCTAGTGAAAGTACAGGCGGAGTAGGGGCAGTTCAGGGGTGTGTTGCACTGCTGTGTTGGAGAGGTCCCGCTCTCAGATGTGTAAATATTAGGGGATAAGATAGGGTATAAATGAAGAGCCCCCTGAATGCCTTGAACCGCTCTGGAACTCCAGAGACTATTATAAATCCGGGAAGTTATGGTGAGTTGCTAGAAAAGATGTTTCAATAGAAGTACAAGAGGTCAGTGCCTTTAAATATTCTCTACCCCTGTCCACTGATATGACCTGGAAGCAATGACGCTTCATTAACAATGAACACATATAGTGCTCAATTGAGAATCAAGGCATCACACTAATCCAGGAGTCCATTTTAACACCACTAAGGATGGGGCGGCCAGAAAATATCTGCCCCTGATGTGATCTGTTCCTCCAAAGAAGAGCCAAGTTAAAAACATTTTTAAAACTCCGTGTATCTCACCTTTCCACTATCCTCACCAGTGCTCATTAAAGAATCTGGGACAAAGTACATAAGCAACCTATGTCTGTCAAGTTGAATGAACGCAAACTAGGTAAAAAGATGGAATGATGAAAGTAGTATTATTTGTTAATATCTGGAGGTTGCAGTGAGACCCCCCGAACCCCTCACGTTTGCATTAGTGGTCTACGACTTCTCTGGGCTATGTAAGGCTGCTTAGTAGTCTTCCAAATTCAGTTGCAGAAAGTCTATTTCTTGTGTAGAATCTGTTGATAATAACAAGCTTGATACATTTCCTTGAGTAAATAATGGGTATGGAAAGGACAGTTGTATCCCTTCTTGCTCTAGGTGCTGAATATGAGGACCAGACCAGCCAGAAGGAGAAGGAAGATGATAAAGTCTTTCCTGGTGAGAGTCATACCTACGTCTGGCAGGTCCTGAAAGAGAATGGACCGATGGCCTCGGATCCTCCATGTCTCACCTACTCATATTTTTCTCACGTGGACCTGGTGAAAGACCTAAATTCAGGCCTCATTGGAGCCCTGCTGGTTTGCAAAGAAGGTAAGTGGCAGAGAGGGTAGGACTCAGATGAAATAACAGAGAAGTACAAACATCTAGGTCGATTCATAAAAGATAGCATTTGTGTTCTTTCATCTAAGGAGGTTTCTTTTCCCTAGCATTATGCCCATGGAAAGAAAATATTATATTCTATGGGCTCTCTGTAGTCTTTTCTTAAATTTTGTGTTACATTCCCTGAGAGCTTCCTGGAGATGAACACATCCAAGTGTATCATCTGTGTCACAAAAGCATGTAAAAATTGGAGAAAAGCAAACATTTATAACTTGTTATTCTACAAATCATCTTATACTAATCAAAGCTGTTTTTAGTTTGTAGTTTAATGGCATGCACTAAATTAGGGAAGTAAACATTGCAGAATTTACTGTAATTCTGAGTTTTTAATAGTGAATTCAGCTTCAATGGACTTTTTTTTTAATTCCTTTAACTATTACAATTTAGTGGCTTAAAATGACAATAATCATTTCTAATTTCTCATGGTTTTTGTGGGTCTCTCACAGAATTTGGGACTATGTTTACCTGATGGTCTATCCCAGGGTTTCTAATGAGGTTGTAGTCAGATAGTGGCTGGAGCCAAGGTCATCCTGAGTAAAACTTTATTCACATGTGTGGCACCTACACTTAGAAAACTCAAATAGCTAGAGCTTTCCACAAGATCTTTTCAGTGTGGGAGCTACAGGGTAGCCAGAAGTTTTTCCTTTTTTTTCCTTTTAAATGGACTCCATGTTTTAGGGTAGTTTCAGTTTTACAGCAAAATTGAGCAGAAACTGCAGAGAATTCCCAAATACAACCTGCCTGCAACCCACACTCAGCCTCCCCTACTGTCAACATCCTACCCCAGAGTGGTATGCTTGTTACAATCGATGTACCTCCATTGACATACCATTATCAACCTAAGTCCATACTTTACATGACAGTTCATTCTTGTTGGTCTACATTCTACAGTTTGGACAAATGTGTAATGACATGTATCCATCATTATAGTATCATACATGTCCCGTCTACCCATCCTTTCCTCTACTACCCCTCAACAACCACAACATTTCATTTTTTCATTAAAAATTTTTTAATGTTTGTTCATTTTTTGAGTGACATGGAGACAGAGCACGAGTGTGGGAGGGGCAGAGAGAGAGGAAGACACAGAATCCGAAGCAGGATCCTGGCTCTGAGCTGTCAGCACAGAGCCAGACACGAGGCTCAAACTCACGGACTGTGAGCTCATGACCTGAGCTGAAATCGGACGCTCAACCGACTGAGCCACCCAGGTGTTCCACCAACCTCTGTTATTTTAAATAGTCTCCATAGTTTTGCCTTTTCCAGAATGTCAAATAGTTGAAATCATACATTATATACTCTTTTCATATTGGCTTCTTCTACTTAGTAATAGGCATTTCAGTTTCATTCATGTCTTTTCATGGCTCGATAGCTTTTTTCTTTTCAGCACTGAATAACATTCTATTGTCTGGATGTATCACAGTTAGTTTATTCAGTCACCAATAAAGGACACCTTGGTTGCTTCCAATTTTTAAGTTATGAATACAGCCGTGTGCAGGTTTCTGTGCATACATAGTCTTCAACCCCTTTGGGCAAATGCCAAGGAGTACAACTACTGGATCATACAGTAAGAGTAGGCTTTCTTTTACACGAAACCACCAATCTGTTTTCCAAGGTGGCTCTGTACCCGTTGCTCCTCATCATCACCAGCTTGCGGTGTTGCCAGTGTTTTGGAATGTGGCCATTCTTATAGGCATGTGGTGGTATCACATTGCTTTAATTTGCACTTCCCTGATAACATATGACATGAAGCACATTTTCATAGGCTTATTTGCATATCTTTGCTGAGGTGTCTGTTCAGGTCCTTTTCTCATTTTTTAAATCAGATTGGTTTTTTTATTGTTGAGTTTTAAGAGTTCTTTGTACATTTTGGATAATGGTCCTTTATCAAATATGTCTTTTGCAAATACTTTTCTCAGTCTTTGGCTTGTCTTCTCTCTCTTAAGTAGCCAGATATTTTTTATGGTGGCTCATGCTGTCTTTTTATATGGTCCCTTTTTTAACCTGCCCTCTGAAATCACACGGCATCCCGTCCACCTCATTCTGTTTGTTGGAATGAGTCACTACGGCCAGCCCATAAAAGGGGAGGAGAATTAGGCTCCACATTTGCATGAGAGGATAGGCAAAGAATTTGTGAACATGAACCACCATTTCTGGATGATTATGATGACTATGAAAAAGAAAACAAGAGGGGAGGGAGTAGAAGCATGATCTCTCATACACTAAGTTCAGTTTCATAATCCGAATTTATGACAAAGTGCTAAAACTACAGTGTGTTATCTGTGAGATATAAAGTTTAACAAAACAATAAAATCATCAATACATGTTTATATATAAAATATAAATAACTTTAAAATCAAAAGAATTCTTTGACAGAAAACTGACTTAAAAAGTCAACGAAGGGGTGGCTGGCTGACTCAGTCAGTGATGCATGGGGCTCTTGATCTCAGAGCTATAAATTTGAGCCCCACATTGGGTGTTGAAATTACTTAAAAATAAAATCATTTTTTTTTAAAAAGTCAACAGAGGTTCTGGTTCTGGGTAATATGGAGGAAACATATGCCACCCTTTATCTCCCATTGAACCCGACTATAGAACCTTGACAAAACACCTAGCCCAGCCATTTGAGAATTCTAAAAATCAAATAGAGCAAGCAGATCAGGAAAAGGCATCAGAATTTAAAGTACCGCCAAACTGGTGGAGAATTTCACTTTTTTATTCCCCTTCTATATTCCCCAAACTGGCAAAGGATGTGAAAATATATTTCTGGGGGGAAAAAGGTATACAGATGGTTAACAAGTATGTGAAAAGGTGCTAAACATCACTAACCATCAGGGAAAGACAAACCAAAACCATAATGATATATCATCTCATACCCATTAGAGTGGCTATAATCAAGATAGCAGTGTTGGCAAGGATGTAGAAAAAAGGGAACCCTGTACGCTATCAGTAGGAAGGTAAATCAGTGCAGTGGTTATGGAAAACAACTAAAACAATTGGCGTATAATCTAGCAATTCCACTTCTGGTAGATATCAAAAAGTATTGAAATCAAGATCTCGGGGCGCCTGGGTGGCTCAGTCGGTTAAACGTTTGACTTCGGCTCAGGTTATGATCTCACAGTTCGTGAGTTCGAGCCCCACATCGGGCTCTGTGCTGACAGCTCAGAGCCTGGAGCCTGCTTCACATTCTGTGTCTCCCTCTCTCTTTGCCCCTCCCCTGCTCATGCTGTATCTCTCTCTGTCTCAAAAATAAATAAACATTAAAAAAAATTAAAAAAAAAAAGATCTTAAAGAGATATCTGCACTCCTGTATTTACTGCAATATTATTCACAATAGCAAAGATGTGGAAACAACCCAAGTGTCCATTGACAAATAAATGGATAAAGAAAATGTGATATATACATACATCATGTATGTATCACAATCACATGGATGTATATAATAATGGAGCGTTAGTCAGCATTTGAAAAAAGGAAATCCTGTTATTTTCAAAAACATGTATGAACCTGGAGGGTATTTTGTTCAGTGAAATAAGTCAGTCACAGAAAGGCAAATATAAGAGTCCGCTTATATGAGGCATATAAAATAGTCATAAAGTAGTCTAAAATTCTGTAGAAGTGGAGAGTATAATAGTGGTTGCAAGGAGCCGGAGGAAAGGAAATTGGGAGTTGTTATTCAAAAGGTATAAAGCTTCAATTATGCTACATGAATAATTCTAAAGATCTGTTATATAACATAAGTGCCTATAGTTGACTATATGGTATTGTACACTTCAAAATTTGTTATAAGGGTAATCTCATATTAAGTGTTTTTATCATACACACACACCCACCCTAAAAGACACAGAAACTTTGAGAGGTGTTACATATGTCTATTACCTTGATTTGGTAATGGTATCATGGGTGTTTTCATATGCCTAACTCATCCAATTATACATATTAAATATATGCAGTTCTTTGTATAGCAGTTATATCTCAATAGAACTGTTAAAAATAAATTGTATTCTATATAGAGAAAAGGGAGCACTAATTTTATTTGAGGAAATAATAACTGAAAACTTCTCTATTCTGGGGAAGGAAACAGAGATTTAGATCCAGGAGGCACAGAGAACTCCCACCAAAATCAGCAAAAGCAGGCCAACACAAAGAAACGTTATAATTAAATTTGCAAAATATAGTGATAAAGAAAAAATTTTAAAAGCAGCAAGACAAAAGAAGTCCTTACCTTAACAAGGGAAAACCCATAACGCTAGCTGCAGATTTCCCAAAAGAAACTTGGCAAGCCAGAAGAGAGTGACATGATACACTCAAAATGCAGAATAGGAAAAATCTGCAGCCAAGAATACTGTATCCAGCAAGGCAATCATTCAGAATAGAAGAAGAGATAGAATTTCCCAGACAAAAAATAAGGGACTTTGTGACCACTAACCCAGCCCTACAAGAAATATTAAAGGGGACTCTTTAAGTAGGCAAAGAAACACCAAAAGCAAAAAAAGACTAGAAACGAGCAGAGAAAATCTCCAGAAACAATGACTTAACAAGTAATACAATTGCACTAAGTTAATATCTATCAATAATCACTCTGAATGTAAACGGACTAAATGCTCTAATCAAAAGACATGGGGTGTTGTCAGAATGGATTTAAAAAAAAAAAACAAGACCCATCTATGTGGGTCCTAGAGGAGAATACAGGCAGCAACCTCTTTGACATTGGCTGTAACAACTTCTTACTAGATATGTCCCCTGAGGCAAGGGAAATAAAAGCCAAAATAAACTTTGGGACCTCATCAAAATAAAAAACTTCTGCACAGTGAAGGAAACAATCAACCAAACTAAAAGGTAACCTATGGAATGGAAGAAGATATTTGCAAATGACATATCTGATAAAGGGCTAGTATCCAAAATCTATAAACAACTTACGAAACACAACACCCAAAAAGCAAATCATCCAATTAAAAAATGGGTAGAAGACGTGAATAGAAATTTTTCCAGAGAAGATATACATATAGCCAACAGACACATGAAAAGATGCTCAACATTACTCATCATCAGGGAAATACAAATCAAAACTACAATGAGATACCACCTCACACCTGTCATAATGGCTAAAATCAACAACACAAAAAACAAGTGTTGGCAAGGACATGGAGAAACTGGAGCCCTCTTGCACTGTTGGTGGGAATGCAAACTGGCACATACAGCTGGGAAAACAGTATGGAGGTTCCTCAAAAAATAAAAATAGAACTTCCCTGTGATCCAGCATTTACACTACTAGGTATTTACCCAAAGAACACAAAAATACTACTTTGAAGGGATACATGCACCTCAATGTTTATAGCAGCATTATCAACAATAACCAAATTATGGAAAGACCCCAGATGTCCATCGACTAATGAATGGATAAAGAAGTATACACAATGGAGTATTACTCAGCCATAAAAAAATGAAACCTTGCCATTTGCAATGACATGGATAGAGCTATGCTAAGCGAAATAAGTCAGTCAGAGAAAGACAAATACCATATGGTTTCACTCATATGTGGAATTTAGGAAACAAAACAGAGGATCAAAGGGGAAAACAGAGAGAGAAAGAAACCAAGAAACAGACTCTTAACTATAGAGAACAGACTGATAGTTACCAGAGGGGAGGTAGCTGCAGGGAATGGGTGAAATAGGTGATGGGAATTAAGGAGGTCACATGTGATGAGCACTGGGTGATGTATGGAAGTGTTCAATCACTATATTGTACACCTGAAACGAGTATTACTCTGTATGTTACCTAACTGGAATTTAAATAAAAACTTTAAAAATGTTGTATTCTATATACTATCAGTGAATAAATGGAAACCAAAATTTAAGAAAGAATGTTTAAACTGAAAACAAACTGAGGGCTGATGGGGGGTGGGAGGGAGGGGAGGGTGGGTGATGGGTATTGAGGAGGGCATCTGTTGGGATGAGCACTGGGTGTTGTATGGAAACCAACTTGACAATAAATTTCATATTAAAAAAAAAAGAAAAAAAAGAATGTTTACAGTAGCTCCAAAAATTGAAAGCTTAGATACAAATCTAACAAAACATGTGAATTGTCTATATGATGAAAACTACAAAGTGAAAGAAGTCAGAGAGACATACTGTGTTTGCGAACAGTGGAGCTCTTAGTCCTCCCACGTCTGTAGATTTTCAGCAAGATTTTTTTGTGGCCACAGACATGCTGATTCTGAAATGTATACGAAAAGGCAAAAGGACTAGATTAGCTAAAATGATTTTGCAAAAAAGAATGAATTTGGAGTAATAATCCTACTTGATTTTCCAAATTACTACAAACTGCAGTAATCATAACATATATTAGTAAATGGAATAGACCTGTAGATTAATGATAGAGAATAAAAGTGCAGAAATAGATCCACACAAGTAAGCCAATTGATTTGGTGCAAAAACAATTCAAAGGAGGAAGGATAGTCTTTTCATCAAAAGGTGTTGGACAATTAGATAGCTGTATCCAATGATCCTAGACCTAACATTATACAAAGATTAACTCAAAATGAATTATAGTTCTAAATGTAATATGTAAAACCATAACACTGTTAGGAAACATAGCAGAATATCTTTCTGACCTAGGGTTTTCGGTGAGAAAACACCGAAAACAGTCCATACAAGAAAAAATTGATGAATGTGACTTCAACACTAGTAACTTTTGCTTTTGTAATAAAAAAAATACTGTTAAGAGAATGAAGAGACAAGGTACAGACTGGAAGAAAATATTTACCAATCATGTATCTGGCAAAGGACTGATGTAATATATATATTACTAATGGAATATACATATATATGCATATATATATGTTCACAATAGCCAAGATATTTTTATACGTTTTATATATGTATTATATATGTATATATACAGAGTGTATAAAACATTTTATTTTATTTTCTAAAACATGTTCTCAAATGTCAACAATAAGGAAAAAAAGCAATTCTTCAAATGGGCAAAAGATTTGAATAGATAATTCAGCAAAGAAGTGGTAAATGAACACCTGAAAAGATGCTCGATATCATTGGTCATTAGGGAAATGTATATTAAAACCATAACAAAATACTGCTACATACCTATTAGAATACCTAATGTAGTAATTTTAAAATTAAGTATGCTGTCAAGAATGCAGAGCAACAGGAAGTCTCATACGTTGTTGGTGGGGATTCACAATAGCATAGCCACTCTGGAAAACAGTTTGGCAGTGTGATACTGTGATTTAAATAAAATCTATATTTGGTTTTCATCTCCTTCTGGTAGAGCTTCTAAAACCCTTGAGATTTTCTGTGATGAGAGCAATAAAAATGTCTTTTTGCTACGTTAGTGTGGTGATTTTTAGACCACACACCTAAGGATGGGAGCAGATTGCCAACAGAGTCAACCAAGTGACTAGAAGGCTGGAATTTTCAGTCTCACCCCCCTAACCCCACCCCCACCCCCAAGAGAGGGGAGAGGGGCTGAGTATTGAGCTCAGTCACCAATGTCTGATGATTCAGTCAATTGTGCCTGTGTAATGAAGCCTACATAAAAAACCACAAAGGACGGAGTTCAGAGACCCAGGTTGGTGAACACCAGGAGATTTGAGGAGAGTGGCATACCTGGAGAAGGCATGGGAGCTCTGCATCCTTTCCCCATGCCTTTCCCTACACCTCTCCTCCACCTGGTTGTTTCTTAGTTGTATCCTTTTTGAATAAGCTGGTAATCTAGTAAGTAAATTATTTCTCTGACTTCTGTGAGCTCCTCTAGCAAATTAATGGAACCCAAGAAAGGTGTTGTTGGAACCTCTGAGCTATAGAGGTGGGTCAGAAGCACAGGTGATGATTTGGACTTTCGATTGGCATCTGACATGTGGGTGCAGGGGAGTCCCATAGAACTGAGCCCTTAACTTGTGGGAATCTACACCATCTCCAGAGAGATAGCACCAGAATTAAGTTAAATTGTTGGACACCCAGCTGGTGTTACAGAATTGCTTGGTGGTAGGGAAAAAAACCCATACACCCTGGAGTTGATGTCACAGTTATAACCAGTTTCTTATAAAATTAAATATACACCTAATTTCCATTCCTGAGTATTTACCCTAGAGAAATAAAAACTTAACAATCACATAAACATGTGTATATTAATGCTCACAGCACCTTTATTTGTAATGGCCAAGAACGGGAAACAACCTAAACGTCCTTTAACAAATGACTGGTTAAACACACTGTGGTACATCCACATCATGAAATGCTCTTCAGCAATAAAACACAATGAAGTACTGATATATTCAACAAAATGGATAAATCTCAAAGGCATTATCTCGAGTAATAAAGATAATCTCAAAAGGTTATATATTGTATGATTCCATTTGTAGGACAACCTCAAAAATACAAATATACTGCAATGGAGAACAGATCAGTGGTTGCCAAGGATATGACCATATATATGACTGTCTCTGTATACATGACTATATATATGTCTATAATGGGATAGAAGGAGGGAGTTTTGAGGCATGTTGGAACTGTTCTGTGTCCTGATGGTTGGTGGTTTCATGAATCCATACCTGTGTTAAGATTCATGACTTAAACATGAAAAGTAAAAGTCAATTTCACTATTTGATTGCTTTAAAAATAAATAAAAAGAATTAAGATGTTTTTAGACAGCTTTACCTATATCTTAATGTTGTATGGGTGAGTTACTTTCTTTGTCCAATCTAAGATTTACTGTCAAGTGTCAAAGGTACAAGGAAAAATGAAAATGTCATAAACAAATATCTTCCTGCTTAAAGAAGCCTGCTAAGAAAACTTCCCAATCAAATGAAGAAATATAATGCTAACAAAGACAACTGACAAATTCAATAATTAAAGCATGAAGCAAGTTCATTTGTTACATTAACAACTTTAAATATTGATATACATGGTGTTGATTTAAATTGTGATTATAGGTGTTTATTATTGATAATTATTATTTTGGTCATAATGCTTTGTGTATTTACAATTGCATAAGTTAAAAAAGTTAAAAGTATAATAGAAACTATATTAATTGCCTGTGTGCACAGTTTCTATGAACAGTATTTACAGTTTTTATAATTTTTCTTTTTCTCTTTTCTGTTAGTTCTGAACACATACATATTTATGAAATATGATTATATGGACTTGTATTTTGTATGTCTCTTTAATTTCATTTTCTCAGTAATTTGTTTTTCCCATGTTTTACAAAAGTACTGGTCTGGAACAAATTTGAAATGAAAAAAAAAGTGCTTTACCCCAAACAGTTTTACAAAAACTGGTACAGAAGGCCTGACACCAAGAAGCAATACTATGTAAAGTTAACAGGAGACCAAGAGACAAAGCAGCTATTCGTGCTGATTTCCTGTGATAAGATTTGTAATAGAGGACAAATATTCTCACTTCTTTTTCAGGAAGTCTGGCTGAAGAAAGGACACAGACCTTGCATGAATTTGTACTCCTGTTTGCTGTATTTGATGAAGGTGAGTGAGCCGCAGTCTGAATCCTGGGCTCCTGAAACAAATCACATATATTAATTTAATCTGGTACTCGAGAATGAGGGCTGCTATTGTCCAGATTATAGAAAGATCATAAACTACTGTTCAGGAATGAAAGAGATGGGGAGAAAACTGAATTTCAAGAAAAAATACAACCTGAGTTTCATTAAATCCATCAACAGAGACTTCTAGTTCTAACTTTAAATACCTCTTCCTTTTTTAGAAAATTTTATGTGTTTTTTATTTAAAATTTAAAAACATTTTTAATTGAAGTATAGTTGACATATATTAAATTAGTTTCAGGTATACAGCATAGTGATTCACCTATATACATTATGAAATGCTCACCATGATGAGTGCATTGCAGGAGTATTGACTATATTCCCTGTGCTGTACTTTTCATCCCTGTGACCTATTTATTTTATAACTGGAAGTTTGTATCTCTTAACCTCCTTCACCCATTTACCCATCCCTGTACCCTCTTCTGTCAACCATGAGTTTGTTCTCTGTGTCTGTGGGTCTGTTTCTGCTTTGTTTGTTTTGTTTTTTAGATTCTACATAAAAGTGAACCCATATAGTATAGTATTTCTCTTTCTCTGTCTAACTTATTTCGCTTAACATAACTGAAATACTCTCTGGGTCCATCCATGTTGCTGCAAAAAGGCAAGATCTCCGTCTTTTTTATGGCCAAGTTTTATATATCATGTGTGTGTGTGTATACACATGTGCATATATATGTGTGTGGGTACACACACATATATACACACACACGTACACCCATACACATACGTGTATATATATATATATGCATACATACATACATACATACCACATCTTCTTTATCCAGTCATGTATGAATCTATACTTGGGAACATAGGGGTGCATGTATCCCATCAAGTTAGTGTTTTTGAATTCTTTGGGTAATACCCAGAAGTGGAATTACTGGATCATAGGGCAGTTCGATGTTTCACTTGTTGAGGAACCTCTACGCTGTTTTCCAGAGTGGCTGCAGCAGTTTGCATTCCCGCCAGCAGTGTAACAGGGTTCCTTTGTCTCTACATCATCACCAGCACTTGTTATTTCTTGTCTTTTTGATGTGATTACACTTTTCGTTTGTATTTCCCTGATGATTAGTATTTTTTTTTTAATTTTTAATGTTTATTTTTGAGAGAGAGAGAGAGAGAGAGCGAGCAGGGGAAGGTCAGAGAAAGAGGGGGGACACAGAATCCGAAGCAGGCTTGAGGCTCTGAGCTGTCAGCACAAAGCCTGACACGGGGCTCAAACTCAAACTGTGAGATCATGACCTGAGCCAAAGCCAGACACCCAACCGACTGAGCCACCCAGGCGCCCCTTTGATGATTAGTAATTTTAAGCATCTTTTCATGTGTCTTTTAAAGGAAATGTTCGTAAAAGTGCATATTTAAGGGGTACCACATGATGATTTGATATACAGAAGATAATAAAGTGATTACTATAGTCAAGGTGATGAACACATCCATCTCCTCACATAGTTACTATTTTGTGTGTGTGATGAGTGCACCTGTAATCTACTCTCTTAGCATATTTTCAGTGTCCGATACAGTATTATTAAGTATAGTTATCATGCCTGTACATTAGATCTCTGGAACTTATTCATCCTAAAACTGAAATGTTGTAGCCTTTAGCCAACATTTCCCCATTTCCCCCACATCTCTGCTCTTGGCAAGCAGCATTGACTGTCTGCTTCTAGGAGTATACCCTCTCTTATCTTCCTTTCTTACTTTTAAATACCTTTGCAAATTACTTAACCTCTCTGTGTCTCAATTTTCTTAAGTTTAAAATCGAAATAATAGTACTTTTTTCATAGGATAGTTGTGAGGATTATGTAAGTGATTTCAATTAAGTAACTTAGAACATTATGTGGCACAGAGTAGGTCCTCAGTAGTATCAGAACTTTTGCTACCTCCTCCTGCTAATAGAGCCATTATCCTCCTACACAGCTTCTTCTGAACTGAGGATCCCATCATCTCTCTCCTGACTAGTCTCCCTGTCTTCTCCTGTCCCCTGACGTTCCATTGTTACTGATGATGTGTCTAGCCTCACTGGGCCCCTCTTCCTGCCTCACTGTGCAGGTGCTGGCCACGCTGAACACATTTTATATTGCCCTGCAACATGCCCTGTGTTTTCTTGCATCCAGATCCTTGTTGACGCTGTGTCCTCTGCCTAGAAAGCCTGTCTGCACCTTCACACCAAGTGAAGATTTTCCTTTTCCTTCTAGTCTGGGTTAGATGCCTCTTTATATATTTCCACAGTTTTTTAAATGTTTATTTACTTTTGAGAGAGAGAGAAAGAGAAAGAGAGAGAACGAGCAGGGGATGGTCAGAGAGAGAGGAAGACACAGAATCTGAAGCAGGCTCCAGACTGAGCTGTCAGCACAGAGCCTGATGCGGGGCTTGAACCCACGGACCGTGGGATCATGAACTGAGCCAAAGTTGGATGTTTAACCAACTGAGCCACCCATGGGACCCTCCACAGTTTTTTTTTAATGCATCAGCAAGTTTATTTACAAATGCAGTTGAACAGGAAGGCTTACTAGGTCCTGGAGAAAACTTTTGGTATACAAACCCTGATGATTTTGTATTAATGACAATTCTGGTGAAGAAAATAGAGATCCCCTCATCAAGAAAATAAAATGTCATGTATGCTAAAAAAATTTTTTTAGAGGACAATATTACATAGATGAAATGAAGGGTACAGAAAGCAAATTTGTGAGTAGATTTTAGTGAAATTGTCTTTATGGTTCTGCATGAATTTAGTATACATTACAATAAACAGAGCAAATGCAACTATGTATTTATATTAGCTACTTCAAATAATATTTCACAACCTTTTTTGAAAAAAACAATAAAATAATCATCTTCAAAACACCACTAGAAAGTCAAACAAAGGAGTTTCCTCCTTATCATACTAAATCATCATTGCCTGATACTTTGATATTATATCCCTTCCCTTTCAGGTGAAGTGAAGTTTCTTCTCTCTGGTTTTGTAAAAGCCTGTTCTCATCTCTATGACGTTACTCTTCACTTATAATTGCTGGCTTCTCTATTTAAGCTAAATTGTAAGCACTTTGAAGGCAGAGTGTCTTCTCTGTCCGCAGTGCCTGGCACTCAGAAGTGCTCAGTAAATGCGTTTGGATGAATGAAGAAATTAGTAGATGAACAGATAAATGAACTTAGGAGAATTACCCACAAAGGCTGGGTGCTTCAGAAAGTTTCAGTATTAGCTGCTAGTCCTTTATACGAAGGGGCAACTTCAGGGAGATGGCTGTGCCATGATAATATTTACAGTGCTTTCACTCATTAATTTCAGAGGGGAGATGGGCAAGCTTTCAGGTTCTTGGGTTTTCATTACTACAATCTGAATGAAGCAATTAGGACAGGGACAGGGACTGAGAGTCCTTTTCTACGATGATTTTCATCTGCTCCTTTTTAAAATTTTTTTAACGTTTATTTATTTTAGAGAGACAGAGCAGAAGCAGGGGAGAGGGAGAGAGAAGGGGAGACACAGCATCCAAAGCAGGCTCTAGGCTCTGAGCTGTCAGCGCAGAGCATGACGTGGGGCTGGAACCCACGAACCACGAGATCATGACCTGAGGCAAAGTCGGATGCTTAACTGTAACCGAGGGAGCCACCCAGGCACCCCTGTCTGCTCCCTTTCAAATAAGTCGGTGAATGAATAGAGTGAAATCCTCATGGCACAAACTAACCAATATTCTTCCTTCTCGTTATCACTTGTCATCATCCCTTCCCATCTACTGTCAGACAAATATAAGGAGAGACCATCAATTTGAGCAAGAAATGTCTGCCTTTTAGTAATTGTCTTCTCCCTTTTTCTTACTGATTGGGGGCAAAGACTGCTCACAGCATGGGACGGAGGGAAGGAGAAATGGAGCGTCATTCATGAGACAGACACTGAGCTAGCCTTGTATTTGCCTCCTCTCTCCTCAGGAAAAAGCTGGCACTCATCTGCTCAGGCCCAGCATGAAATGCACACGGTCAACGGCTATGTCAACAGGTCTCTGCCAGGTATGTCCATTTGTGCTCAAGAATCCTCAGGATCTTCCTCACTCACCACCACAGCTCTCTCCTCTGGTTGTCTTCAGACAGCTCCGTATGCCCAGAGGAAAGGCCACTGAATTCTGGCGTCTGGTGGGGTCTTAAACTGAAGTGGCTGATTCTTTTTCCAGTCACCTAAAAATGAAGGCCTGCCCATGTACACAGAGCTCACAGATTTCTCTTTCCTTTTGCTTAAAATAGATGGGGCCAAGGATGAACAAATATTTAAGGAAAGCCTGAAATATGAAAGGGATATGCAGAGATAAATAAAATAATAATCCCAGAAGAAAAAGAGATAATCCTTAGAACTGAACAAAACTTGTCAAAAGGTCTACTTAGTATTTTCATAAAGATTCAAGAAGATACTGCATCAATAAAGTAATAATGGGATTTTATGAAAAAGAAATAACCAAATAAGGGTATGCTCACAAAAATGAGGAATATGGTTTTCAAAATACAAACTCAATAGAAGGCAGAATAGAGAAAATCTCCCAGAAATGAAAATGAAAAGAGATTGAGAATACAGTTTAAAACAGATTTCAGAAATCAAAGAAATGATAGAAGAAAGTATTTGAGTCCTCATATAAAAATTTCCCAGTAGCATAAATTCTAAAAAGACTCCCACAAAAAATTATGATTGTGGAATTTCAGAGAACAAAGAGAAGATGTTTAAGCTTCCCCTGGGACAAACAGGTCACAAACAAAAGCAGGAAACTTAAATTGGCAATACCATTCAGGGCTTTCTAGGACTTACTAGAGAGTTGGGACTTGACATGGAGACAAGAGATAATGGTAGCTAGCTTGGATTAAGATGGTGGGGATAGTGATGATGGTGAAAAATAGATATATTTGAAAGATTCGGGAGCCAAAATACGAGAAAACTGTGCCCTAGTAGTTAACAGTGTGAGTCTAAGCATACGGCTGCTTGGGTTCCAATCTGAGCAAGTTAATTAACCTCTCTGGGCATTGGTTTCCTCTCCTGATAACAATAGTTTCTACATTCATATGGTTACTGGAGGGAGTGAATGAGTTACTTGTAAAACAGTTTGGATAGTGTTTGATATAAAATAAGTGCTCAGTAAATATTAGTGTTATTAATTATATTGCCATAACTGGTATCAGGTTGGATGTGAGAAGTGAGCGTAGTAAAAAGAATAATTTTGATATTTTTCAAGGAGAAAATATTGGTCAATAAGAGAATAAGGGCTAGGGGTGAATCCTAGGTGATCTGTAATTTACTGAGGAGTCAGGAAAGGAGACAGAAGGAGCTGTCTAAACAACAGGGGAACAAAGCCCAGAGAGGTGTTGGCACAGAGATCGAGGGAGGAAGAGAATCTCAAGAAGGAATGAATGGTCAACAGGTGCAGGTGGCTGAAAATGGTCCATTGGATTTAGCAGCATGGCACTCACTGGTGGGTGACCTTGGCGAGAGCTGTTGGTTTGGCAGTACCCTAGCCTCCTTGGAAAGTTTTATTCCAAGTCAGTAATAAAATTTGAAGGTCAGTTTGTCCATCCTATCCTAGACCGCATTTTCCCTTTCAAATTCTCTACTTGCTGACCATAACTATCTTATTTCTACTTTATAGGTCTGACTGGATGCCACAAGAAATCAGTCTATTGGCATGTGATTGGAATGGGCACCACCCCCGAAGTGCACTCAATTTTTCTTGAAGGTCACACATTTCTCATCAGAAACCACCGCCAGGCCTCCTTGGAGATCTCACCAATAACGTTCCTCACTGCTCAGACATTCCTGATGGACCTTGGCCAGTTTCTACTGTTTTGTCACATCTCTTCCCACCAGCATGGTAATATCTGTTGATCTTAAAAATGAGTACTATACATATTCAGCTCTTCTTTTAGTGTCCACTGTCCAGTATAAGATTATGTTAGAACTCAACTGAGGTGCCCTAGTTGTCAGTTTTCAGAGTAAAGATTTCACCTTGAACGTAAGAGGGCTTGAGTGTTAGTAGTACTGGTGAATTTTTAGTCTAAATGACTATGATAGAGGGAGGGGAGATATTTTAGGAATGAATGCTGTGGTGAAAGGGAGGAAGACAGTACAGTATTGGTTTCCCAGCCTGATCCCATTAACTAGGCCTCAATACCATGGAGAGAGACATTGCAGGTCATAGCCGAAGAGATGTTTTATGAGAAATGTAAGGAAATAAGTCACCTAGGTTGTAGGATAGCAGTAGTGATGCCGAGAGCAGTAAATAGCAAAGACAAGATGATACTGCAGTTCTCAGCATGAAAGCCCACACTCCTGGTGTACACGGAGGTGCTCTGTCAGCACCTGGTAGGAGGTGACACGCTGCGGGTGGAAGTTGCCAAGCATAGGTGACACACCACATGAGGTTTTCGAAGACGTCTCGATGAGGACTTTGCGAAGGGCCAAAGGTCCCATCTAAGTGAGTTGGGGCAACAGTGCTTACACTTTCAAATTATTGTTAATGTAACCTCATTGGGAGCTACAGCCTGTGAAAATTCATATAACACGATCATCCCACCCCCATTTGCCGTCTTGTGTGTTTACTCCACTAACTCCTCAACTTGCATCAATGTAACATCACTCCTTGCCTAGTCCCCTCTTGTGGCTATTGAGGGCTGTTGGAGAAACATGTTGAGGAGGCCTAATGTTTCATGTCTAACAGCACTCAGCACTCGTTTGTTCCTACCACTCTTGTATTAATGCTCTCTTCAGATTCCTTGTTTGCCTTGGAGAAGAGATTGGATCTTGCCACACTTCCACTATTTCCCCCTTATGTTCAGTGAATGGCCTTGTCTATAGTCCTCTATAATGATGAAGAATGGGACCTCTTTTCCCCATCTGTTACATCATGTTTGGGGGACTTTTGATAAGACATTAGGGGGCAAAGGATATCCTACTGGGCACACAACAGGAATAGGTTATTTATTTGTATGCAGGTTGGTCACTATCTAGTTTGAAGGGTTTATGTTTTGTTTTATTATTTTGACTTGTTTCCACTGATTTTAATCCACATTTTGCAGAAAAATGCTTTGTCTTGTTGAACCTCAGATAAAACTTTTCATCTGTAGACCTAGAATAAATAACGTTTGAAGCCACATGCACTAGTTTAAAGACTAGCTGTCTGCCGCTCCTGAGAGCTACCCTGTTCCCCATCACCCAGTAAACAGGCCCCCCTTCTTTGGATTGAGCTTCAGAACAGCCTGTGGCATAGACTGGGAAGGAGGTATTGCCATCCACATTTTTAAAGCCAGAGATGAGATTGCTTTAGGGCTCGCAACTAGTCACAGACAGACATGCTCTTAAAATATATGACATATTTCCTTAGCTCTAAGTTGTACCTTTCCATGTTTTTATGAACTTGGAATGTTTCTTGAAATTTATATCTATACTGACATTTTTCCTGATAAACTTATTAAATCGGTGGTTTGTATCATGATTCAATGGAATACATATAGAAATCATAGGTAACTGGAGGAGTGGGGAGTTGGTCTGACCTAGGCAACCACATGCTGAAAATACTCAGTGTGTCAAGTCTGCTCATTTATAATTTGGGAGTTGGGGAGTGATAGGCTCAGAGCCAATACCACAAGGGAAATATTCATATATATTGTAAGAGCAAATGAGTGAGTGTTGGAAAAGGGATAAAACATAGATTGGAGGAGAGTCTGGCTGAAGGGAAACAGTGAGTGCAAAGACCATATAGGAAGAAAGCAACAAGGAACAGCTATGGGGGAGGTAATCCCTGTAGGAGAGTGGCAAAGAAGAGCACTGGCGTGGAGAAGAAAACACTTAGGAGAGGGTCTTGAAGGCCAGAGTCTTGTAGGAATCTGACATTGTTTGATTTGTCTGACTCCAGATGGCATGGAAGCTTATGTCAAAGTAGATAGCTGCCCAGAGGAACCCCAGCTACGGATGAAAACTAATGAAAAAGAGGAAGATTATGATGATGATCTTTATGATTCTGACATGGACATGGTTAGGTTTGATGGCGACAGCCCTTCTCCCTTTATTCAAATCCGCTCAGTTGCCAAGAAGCATCCTAAAACTTGGATCCACTATATTGCCGCCGAAGAGGAGGACTGGGACTATGCTCCCTCGGCCCCCACCCCCATTGACAGGTAAGCACCTTTGACTCTTGGTATGAACTCTTCCTCATTTTCAAAAAGTTCTTCCCAATTATTCAAAACAACAAATCCTCAAGCCATGGTTGGGATTAAGTACAGATATGGAATCAAATAATATAGCCCTATTAACATAGCTAAGTATCAGGGATACTTGTATTTTTCTCCCTCCTTCCCTTGATTAAATCTCATGAGCTGTTTTAGAGCTGGATTTTAGCCACCTGTCCCTACCTAGAACTCTGCATCCCAACATGTCATCTATTTGTGTCTCATGCAGAAGTTATAAACATCTATATTTGAACAGTGGTCCTCAGCGGATTGGTAGGAAGTACAAAAAAGTTCGATTTATGGCATACACAGATGAAACATTTAAGACTCGTGAAGCTATTCAGTATGAATCAGGAATCCTAGGACCTTTACTTTATGGAGAAGTTGGAGACACACTGTTGGTAAGTTGAGGAGGAGATACAAGGTTGGGTCAGAAGACAAAGTCTGGAGAATTTTGAGTATCTAAAAGCTTCATAATTTAGCCTTGTCTCCAATGGATATGATCGTCTAAAAATCATAAATGTTACACAGATAAATGTGGACTATAAATTTGTTTTAAAAATATGAGTATATTGGGGCACCTGGGTGGCTTAGTCAGTTAAGTGACCATTCTGTTCCAAAAGGAAGTTTTCATAATGGAAGATGCTGCAGCCTTATTGTGTAGTAGTACAACAGAAGAGATGTTGTCATTAGATAGGAGGTGATTTTCGCAGGAGGGAATGTGGCCATATATGCACATAGGTGGGTAGATTTGATGGCGGGAGGGTGAGTACTCTCTTTTCTCAGTGAAAACAGAAGCACTTGACAGTGAGAATCTGGAAGCAGATATTAGTCAACTAAGTAAGTGGGAAGGTGAATTTCTAGGAAAACCTAACAGTAATGAAGTTTTAGGGTGATGGTGGGGTGGTCCAGAGCTGATGGCCAAGAAAATTCTTGAAGGCGCCTTTGGTGCAAAAATGTGACTTTATTAAAGCATGTGGACAGGATCTGTGGGCAGGAAGAGCTGCACTGGGGTTGTAATGGGTAACTGATTATATACCTTCAGGTTCGGTGGAGGTCAGGGATAGAGTAAGTCTCTAAGAAATTTTGGAAACAAGGTTTCCAGGACCTTAAGGAGCTAGCTGTTGCTAGGGAAACTCCATTTATTATCGTTTAGTAGTCATGAGACCCTTCATATGTATATCAGGGGGCCCTAAGCTAGGGGAATGATTGCCAGCATATATCCTGGGGCAGTTGAGAGTGCTGTCATCCTAGTCGTCCCTGCTCATTCAGTGAAGAATTTTATCACCAGAGTCACTGTTTTCCTCTCAGCTGTTGGGGAACTAGGGCCCAAATGGTGGGAAAAGGCTGAGAAGAAGCAGTGTCCTCAGCAGACATTCAATTTCAATTAGTTTGAGAAGGTGCAAAGAATACTTCCTGAACAAATGAAATAACTGTAAAGAAATGGAAAGGGGCCTTTAGTGAAAAACCTAAGTGACTATCTGAGCAGTTATACAGAAAGAACAAATGTTTTGAGCTTTATGTGAGCTCAAACCCCTACAGTATGGACATAAGGCAGCTTTTGTCTTCTGGAGATGGGCCACACTGGTTGATCCTGGCCCTTTTAAGACTTGGTCTTCTATTTCACTTTTACTTGCAGATTATATTTAAAAATCAAGCAAGCCGACCATATAACATCTACCCTCATGGAATCACTGACGTCAGTCCTTTGTACTCAGGGAGATTGCCTAAAGGTAAGTGTCACCTCAGTCATCTAAGTTCGCTTACCTGTAGATATGGATGAGGTCATAGCCTCAACAGCACTAACATTATACTGGCCTTCGCCCCAGCTGCTATGTATGATGTAGACACATCTATCACCCCCCTATCCTGTATGCTATAATTTCCATATGGATTACATCTATATACTTACCAATACACATAAGAAAATGCTATAATTTTTTGCTTTAAATGGTCATATGTAGTTTTAGACAATTATGAGGAAAAAATATTCCTTCATATTTACCTATTTACTATTACCAATGCAGCACTTCCATTCAGATCACTTCTCTTCAATCTGAAGAATTTCCTTTAGCATTCCTTATGGTGCAAGTATGCTGGAAATAGATTCTCTTCATTTTATCTTATTTGAAAATGTCTTTATTTTGTCTTCACTCTTGAAGGCTAATTTTGCCGGACATAGAATTCTGGGTTCAGAGGTGTTTTTTTTTTTTTTTTCCTTTTAGTACTTTCCAAATATTATTTGACAATCTTCTGGCATTCGTAATAGCTGAGTTTTGATTCCATTGAATTATTCTTCCCCTGGAGGTTATTTTTCTCTGGCTGTGATTTTCTTCATATTTATCCTGTTTGGGGTTTACTGATCTTCCAGGATCTGTACATTTGTTTTTACAAACTTGGAAAGATTGTGGTCATTATTTCTTTAAATAAATTTTGTACCCTATTCTCTATCCCCTTTCCCAGGTCTCTAATTACAAGAATGTTTGACCTCTTGGTATTGTCCTACATACCTTAATGTTTTCATCATATTTTTTTCTTTCTCCCTCTTATCTGTAGGTTGGATAGTTTCTATTGACCTACCTTGAAGTTCACTGACCTCAAACTGGAATTTCTAAGTCACAGTATACATATTTTTATTTTTAATAGATAGCCAGACTTTTGCCCCCAAATAAAGTTATAATTCACAGTCCTACCAGTCATATATGAAAGTGTAATTTCCCACATTATTGATATCTAGACATGGACAGTTTTTAAAAATCCTGCCAATCTTGTGGGTGAAAAGAGGTGTCTCAATGTTTTTTAAATTTTATTTTTAAATTTTAATTCCAGTATAGTTAAGAGTGTAATCTTAGTTTCAGGTTTACTATATAGTGATTCAACACTTCTATACAACATCTGGTGCTCATCACGACAAGTGCACCCCTTAATCCCCATCACCTACTTCACCTATCCCTCTATCCAACTCCCCTCTGGTAACCATCAGTCTGTTCTCCATGGTTGAGTCTGTTTCTTGGTTTCTCTCCCTCTCTTTTTCACTTTGCTCTTTTGTTTTGTTTCTTAGATTCCACATATGAGTGAAATCATATGGTATTTGTCTCTGAATGACTTTTTTCATTTAACATTATATACTCTCTAGCTCCATCCATGTCATTGAAAATGGCAAGATTTCATTCCTTTTTATGGCTGAGTGATAATTCATTGTGTTT